AATAAAGACAATATCTTTTTCTTTTTATTTTTTTATAAATGGCAAACAAAGACTACATCACATAGTCCATATCAACAAACATTTGCTATTGTAGTCTTTTCCCTTTTCGACCCACCTGTAATTTGCAATAAAGTAAGCACTTTAGTTGCATGATGCAAAAACAAAAACTTGACTTTGAAGTTCGGACAATAATATGCTGCTTCTCAATGATCAATTTGCATGGTAAGAGAACCAAGAACAGGTTTTAACATTAGCATCCACAACTCTATCCTACCTGCAAATGAAACTTCCTATCCGGAACAAATAGCTGCATTATGTGAAATGAGAGAGAAAGAGCAAACAAAATGACAGGAAAAAAAGAAAATCAATCTAACAAAAGTAACATAGAAACATAATTTTTTTTCCTAACAAAGCTCTGCCAATAATTAATTCATTAAAATAAACTTGAATGCCCATACCACCTGAAAAAAAAAATCACACCTGAAAAAAAATTACAATAATAAAAAATATATATAAACCAAATCATAATCACACCAAGAAAAATAATAAAATATAATAAAATTACAAAATCACAGCAAGAAAAAAAATATAAAAATTAAAAAATAAATCTAAAATCATAATTAACTATTTATTATCCATGCCAACAACACTTCATATGTATAAACATTTATGGCCAATCAAACCAAAGTGGAATACATAAACCAAACCAAAACCAAATTACTTACATTTATTTGAGCAAAGGTAATTCAAACATTTATGGCCAACTTAGCGGCCATAAAAGGCATACCATATGCATTTTTTTACATAGCATCTTCCTAATTTGAAACTAATGAAACATGTACTATAGAAAGGATTTTTATTTGAGAGTATTTTAGCATACTATTTACTGTTTTCATAAATTATGACCTATTCAATTGAATGTTGTTGATCATTATAATACCTAAAAAGCACTTATAATACCTAAAAAGCAATCAATGCTATCAATGGACACAATAGCTCTAGAAAAAAGCACTTATAATACCTAAAAAGCAATCAATGCTATCAATGGACACAATAGCTCTAGAAAAAAACTTCAAGTACCATCAACACCATCTAGTTGTAGACCTCAAGTACCATCAACACCAACCTTGAGGGAAAAAACAAAAAAGGAATTAGTAAAATCCCTTAATCGAACAAAAACCAAATAACAAAGAATTAGTAACCAAAATAATAACCCTACATGTGTCATTATCCACTATCTAACAAAATTTTAACAAAGATATTCTCATGGACCCAATAAACATAGCTAGGTGAATGGAAGCATAGACAGGGGAGAAACAGAATTCCTTCACCCCTTTATGGTTAGATGTACTCATTACACAATGTAAAAAAAAAAAACAAAAAAAACAAAGTATTAAATAACATATGGTAGTGTAGACATCCCCGAACGCCCCGGGAGGAACAAGCTCCCGTTCTGTTCATTTTGGGGTCACTACAGCTCAGGACTCTTAAATTTGTCACGGTTCTAAGTCTGAACCAAAGAGTCCAAATTCGGCAAATCGTTTTGAGAAAAAACAGATTTTTTTTGAAAGAAGTGCCAAACATGGACTGCTTTGCCAGATACAGAGTCGCCACCTAAATGTTATTTAATGGGAAATTTAGGAAACCCTGACTCGGTGCCAAAGGCCACGTGTCCGTCATCACCAAAGTTGCCTCGGGTCGGGACTTTATGGTTAGATGTACTCATTACACAATGTAAAAAACAAAAAAACAAAGTATTAAATAACATATGGTAGATAAAGATAATGAAACATACGATACAGTGTGCTTACTTTATAGATGTTACTCTGCTATGACTTGAGTTTTAAAAAATAAAAATAAAAATAAAAAACAAACAAAAAAAAAAGAATAATGAGCAAAACAATCAATCAATAGCATGAAATTTACATTAAAAAAGTTTATCAAAAGTTTGTTTTTGTGTTGGTGTATGTGAGTGAAAATAAACCAGGGAAAAAAATAAAAAACAAAAATAAAGAAACAAGGAATTCCAAAATAAGAGAAGAGAGATACTTCTGAGAGTCATGGGTAGTAGGATTGGACTTCAAATCTTCCTTGGGAGCTTTTCTTTATCAACTGATGATGAAAGCAAATTCACGTCAAGTAAATACATGGTTATTCAAATGACAGCAAACAAATAAACACCAAAAAAAATAAACTATTAGGCAAAAAAATAAACAATTGACCACAACTTAGAGCACAATTGTTTGGATAAACATGGGGGAAAACCCTTTTCTTGAAAAATTAAATTAAATATAATGGGCATAGGCATGGGTCTTTTTTTTTTTAACTAAGAATTATAAATAGAGTTAATATACCTTCATTGTTGTTGGATAGAGATAGAGATTCCTTTCTAGAGATATTGGCTTGAGAGAGAGAAGGAAGGTAACCGTATGTACATATGTATGAGGGTGATGTAAAATTTTCAATGCTATTTATCCCCAGATATAGAAATAGAAATCAATAGAATTTCTAAGATGTAGAAATCAATAGCAGACAAAACCTTCACCAAACTCAAGTCAATAGCAATAGCAATAACAATAACAAAACTCATCTAGTACTGTAAACCCATCTAGTAAACAAAACTCAAGTCAATAACAGAACTCACCTTCACCAAAGATGTAGAAATCAATAGCAATAGCAACTCAAGTCAAACACTTCACCAGAAACACATCTAGAATTTCAAACATTTCCTTAATTCTCTAGTAGACAAAATCCATCTAGAATTTCAGACATTTCAAACACATCTAGTACCGTAACATTTCAAACACATCTAGTATTGTAACCCATATGAAAAATAATTCAAAAAGAAACACTAAAATTCTGAAACCCAAAAATATCAAACCCATCACCAAACTCAAGCAAGAACCAAAAATACTGTAACCCAAATCTAAGAGGAGAGAAACCCGCAAAAATATCATGGATTGCAAATTTGTAAGTTTTAGTTTACCTCTAAATGGTTGCAATGTCGTCGCAAGAGGAGAGAGGCGAAACAGGAGGGTGAGAGAAGAGAGTCAGTGGTCGGTAGTCGAGAGGAGTGATGACAGCAAGAGGCAAGGAGAGGTGGTCGGTAGTCGGTAAGTAGCGGTGTCGTCGTCAGAGGAGAGGAGGAGAGAGAGAAGAGCGTATGAAAGAGGAAGGATTTCTCTGAAATGAGAAAAGGGGAGGATTTGGGCAGAGATGAAAGAGTAAAGAGTTCAATGAGCGTGGGTCTCTCTTCTGTAGGGAGTGGATGGGTGTGTTTTGAAATTTGAAATTTGGAAAAGTGAGGTGCGACAGATGAGGATGGGTGGTTGCAAAGTTTGTGGCTCTTGGGCGAGAAGTTGTGAGTGAGAAGGTTTTCATCTCTACCGTCCATCTTCAAGTAGAAATGAATCATGGCCGTTAAAATGTCCTAGTAGAGACAATCTACAAGTAGAAATGAATCATGACCGTTAAAATGTCCTAGTAGGACAATTGTCTCTAGGATAAATTCAAAAACCCTCTTCCCTTATTATATAATATATATATATGTTGATATTTTATATATTTAGTTTACACTTATTTCGATTAATTTTTAAAATTCTATCGTTCATTAGTGAGGTCTAAAACTAAAATAAAATTACAAGAATTTATAACACTTAAAAGTTTTTAGGCTCTGTTTGTTTCTAAAGTTGGAGGATGGGATTGAGATTAGTAGTGAGGTGGGATTCAAAAAAATATATTTGTTTTGGATAGTGGTCATGGGATTAAGAGTCCCATGTGACTATGAATTGCCTCCAAGGAAGAGACTAGCAATCCCATGGGAACGGTGGCATTGATATTTAATCCCATAAAATTGGAGATAAAAATATTATTTTGTCCCCCATTTTATAAAATTAATTTAATATTAAAACAAAATAGTATAATAATATATTTATCCCCAAAAAAAATATATCAACAAAAAATAATATAGTACAAAAATATAATTTTTAATATTAAAATATATCAAAAACACCAAAGGGTATTTATGGTATTTTATATAGTTAATACTCTCACTAAAATATATTACAAACAAACATAATTTTTCTTAATCTCCTCATAATATAGCTCATGTAATATTAAAAATAAATAATTGAGTAAAATTTTATTGATATTGGATTCTTTAATATTTACAACCAAAAAAAAAAAGAAAAAGAAAAGAGAGAATAACGTCGAGTAAAAAAAGTTGATAGTTAGATTCTTTAATATTTTTTTAAAAAAAAAAGAAAAAGGAAGAAGAATAATAACATTGAGTGCCGTTTTGGGAACTTTGATAAAAAGCTACGTTTTTAGGCTAGGGAAAAAACGCTGGTGTGTGCAAAAACACTGAAGACACTATTTGGGAAGACCCAAAAATGCAACTCGGCCATTTACCAAACTACCTTCATCTTTTGGTCATTTTAAAGTGATGTGACACTTTTAAAAATATTAAATCAAAAATCAAAAAAGTCAATTTTTTACCAATTTCTCAAAACATCTTGAGTAAAAATTTATTTGTTCTTTAGTTGGTATAAGATCAAATTTAATAATAATATAAAGAGTATTAGTGAAATTTTATAGGGCTAATCCTATTCTCGTCTCTCAAAACAAATATGAATTATTAATAATTCACTAGTTATCAAATAAACACAATGGGTGTGTTTGGTTTGTGTTTTGAGATAAATTTTCAAAAAAAAATTTGGAAAGAGAGTTTATAAATTTTTTTAATTTGTTCAATTGTATATTTTGAAAATAATTTTTGAGTTTGGGAGTTTGGAATAATTTAATATTTTGTTATAGTTAAGTAAATGTGTATGAAAGAAAAAGTGATTGAGAATAAGAGAAAAAAGAAAAAAATGATTGATTAATGTATAATAAAAAGAAAAGTAATTATGAAATTTTTTTTAAAAATATTAATAACCAAACATATTTTTAAAAAATTTCTTCTAAACGTATGTTTTAAAACACAAATCACACGCACCCAATTTTTCTCAATCAACAATTCTTTCACCAATTCCATTCTAGGTGTGAAAACAAACGGGCCTTGGGGAGAAGCAAACTCCTCAGTTACAGCACTAACCTTGCGGGTATACATATCCATATGCATACGTATTACATATATTTACGCCACCAATTAAGCAGTGTAGCAGAGCTTAGAGAGAGACATAACCCCCAACAATGCTCAGCCTAGGACGGTTTCCGCCACCATGCAACACCACCCATCACCACACCGTCTCTCAATTTCTTCCTTTTCCATCCAAAACCCACCAAACCCATCTCGCTTTTCTCTCAGATGGATTGACCCATTTCAATTTCTGTCCTGTTCTTCACCAAATTCCTACTAGATTTTGTGTTTCTGCTTTAAAGGGTCGAAGTGGAGGAAGAGGAGACAATAATAGGCTCTTGGAAATGGAAGATTTCGATGATGACTTTGACGATGAAGATGAAGATGAAGATGGTGATGATGATGAAGAAGATGAAGAGATGTTTGTGCCATTGATGGATATGAAGAAGTGGATTGAGAACAAGCCTTCTGGGTTTGGTGAAGGGAAATTGTATGATACTTCAATTGAAGACAACCTGCTCGAAGAAATGCTGCAGAGTAGGGAAGCTCAGCTTGCTAATATCAATAGGCTCAAGAACAGCCCTGAAAACCCTAATTCCAAGAAAGAAATTACTCAGAAACAGAGAGGTTAGTTTTTGGTTTCTTCTTGAATTTCACTTTGCTATATCTTCCCTAGTCTATTGATTTCTGATTGGTTTTTCCCATTTGCCCAAATTTTTTAATAACTAGGAACGGATAAAATCAAGAATGTGTTTGGTTTGAATTCTGAAGTTTTTTGAAAATTGAGTTTTTTAGTTTTCGTATTTTTTTTGTTTTTAGTGAATATTTTTTAAATTTTAAACATTTTTTTTTTACTTTTTTAGATGCATCTTAGTTAGATGTGTCTAAAAAGTAAAAAATTTATGAAAAAATATTTTAAAAAATTAATAAATACATAAAAATATAAAAAATTATTGAATTCTTGTATTTTTTTTTTGTATTTTTGATATTTAGTGGATTTTTAAAAGATTTTTTTTTAATTTTTTTATTTTTTAGGTGTATTTATGTTAGGTGTGTCTAAAAAGTAAAAAAATATTTAAAATATTAAAAAAATTCGGTAAAAATAAAAAAACACGAAAAATAAAAATGTAAAATTTTTTGAAAAGTGTTTATGAAAACTCAAAACAAGCAAGCTTGCTTTCCTTTTGATTGACAGTGGAATTTGCCATAGTACTGAATACACATTGCTTCCTAACCAGTAAGCTTCACTGGCTTTTTTGGCTTTTTAGGAAGAAATAGATGAGTCAGGAGCCTCTCCTTGCAAGCTTGTGCTTGCGTCCGTCTTTGCAGGCCTTCGGATCTACTTTTAAGCCCAATTTTGATAATCCGAATCGTTATATTTTATGATTTATTCAGTATATCATACCTATAAAAAATCAAGTTGATCGGATATCAGAAAGTATGTGTTTAAAAAATTGAACTAAACACTATTTTTTAAAGAATTTAATAAACAGTTTTCCGAACATATGCTTTCTGATATCCGATCAACTTGATTTTTTACAGGTATGATATACTGAATAAATCATAAAATATGAACGGTTCGGATTATCAAAATTGAGCCTAAAAGTAGACCCAAAAGCCTGCAAGGACAGACGCAAGCACAGAAGCTGCAAGGAGAGGATCCTCACTCGAAATAGATAGTTAAAAAAGCTTAAACTTTTGGCAAATGGTAAATTTGTTTTGGCTGAAATAGGAAAAAAGCAGCTATTTAAGCAATTACCAAATAGGGCCTAAGTTGAGATACTTGTTTGGATTTGAGTCATTTGACTTGAACCTTTAGAAGAAGCACCAGAGCAATCAAAAGCAAAAGAAGAGAGAGAGAGAGTTGTCAAAGAAGGTACAACTTTGCTCTATGCCAAAATTTTACTGGAGACATTTTCATATGCCAAATATCTTGTGCATGAATGTGAAAGAGATGAAGGTTGCGTGCAGAGATGAACATATCTCGTAGCTGTTCACTATTACATGTTTGTAAAATTAGCTCTTGGCACGTGTCTTCTATGTTTTAATGGCTATATAAAGTGTTTTGAAGTCACAATATCAGTCCCATTTCCTAGTAACTAAAGCTTTTGGAATAATTGGTGATTTAACATAGTATTAGAGCTCAGGTTGGGGGGTGATCTTGGGTTCAAATTTCTCTTTTTGCATTCTTTCTTTTCTCCTTTGTATTCTTTCTTCTATGTATGTATGGACACTTGTATCTCCATGTGCACATGCAAGACGAGGTTGTACGTGAGGGAGGAGGATGTTTGATAACTTGATATACATTGTTGGGTCTATTTCCAAACAACTTAAAACTTTTTGGATAATTGGTGACTTAACAGTTTCCTCATGGGCTCATGGGAATCATAATTTTCTAGTCTATGAAGGATCACGTAATTTGATGCTTTTCAGTGTCAACTCTGCTTGGTTTGAAATGGGTCTTTGATTGAATTGGAATTTGTTCTCAAGCTAATTTGTATGAAATATATATATATATATATATATATGTGCTGGAGTTTAATTTTGCATGGCAACTTGAGTCTAATTTTGCATCATAATGCTGGACTTTTGCAGCCCCTGAAGTTGTTCCACCTCCAAGTGGATTTCGTGTACGTTTGGTCAATCTTCCTAAGAAAAAGAACATCCAAAGGGATCTGCAGCTAGCTTTTAAAGGTGTCCCTGGGGTTGTTAACATAGCTCCAGCTGTTTCTGGAAACAAAAAGACGAGGGATCCCATATGCAAGGGCTTTGCATTTGTTGATCTAAAATCCGAGGAGGATGCGAATAGGTTTATATTCAAAGTACTCAAAATCAAATTACAAGTTCACATACATGTACGCATGCACACACACTCGCACGTCGAGATCATTTGTCAGATCTTTGCAAGTGTTGCATGCTTACATTGATATTATGTATTGACAGGTTTGTTAAAACATTTTCAAGACAAAGTATTAGCTTTGGGAAGATTCAGAAGCAGATAAAATGTGAGATTATGAATTCAAAATCTCCCACCTCAGCATATGAACAGTCATCAGACAGAAGTTACAGTGCTACTCAACTAGTGTTTCGCAGTTTGGGGGAAGGCTCAGATGCTGATTTTGACATTGATGATACTTCCCCAGATTCGTGGGAGGTAGCTGCCTCTGATGAATCCAAGGCTGCAGATGATGAATTTGTACAAGCACAATGGGAAGATGATGGTGAAAATTTGGGATCTTTCAGTTCATCAGATGACAATGCTGTTGATAGCATGGAAGCAAGAACTGAGTCTGCTTCTGATGCATTAATCTCAAAGAAGCAAGCAAAAGTCCGGAGAAATGAAAAAAAGTTGGTAGCTAAAAGAAAGGGAACAAAGGATCCAAAATTGAACATTCCCGGATCTGCAAATAGGTATGCTGCTATATACAGATTACATGCAATTTTTTCTTCAAATTTTTTTTTTTTCTTTCTTTCTTTTCACTCTTTTTATCCTTGTAAATACTCCAAATTGCAGGTTGAAAATAAAGGAGAAGGCTTTGCTAACTGGTGTGCTCTCCAAGTATGCAGTACAAGCCTCTTCAGCTTCAAAAGAACAGAACTGATCTGTAGTTTTTTATTTCTCCTTGAGATTGCTATGGCTATGAACATTACTGCAAACACGAGATTAAGTATACCAGAGAGATGATCGTTATGAATGTCAATTAATTTTTTGTTCTCTTCCCGTTATTTGTTGTCTGATGAACTGTTTTTCTTTAATGAAAACCATTCTGGCCGTACTTTATACCCCCCCTAGTTCAGATTTTACCCAATTACAGTTTTTGTTTGTTTGTTTGTTTGTTTGTTTTTCTTTTTGAAGTGTTGTGGAAAAGACTGAGGGTTTTGATGCATCAGTAGTTATCTCCAAACCAATACAGAAAGACTAGTAATCAGTGGATTCAATTCTAATGTCAATGGAGCAGTAATGGAAAAAATAAAATATAAAAACTACTGCATGAAATTACAGGTCATTGCAAAGATAATGTGCAACTTTCTACCTGCACTATGGAGTATTTTACCTTTAGGAATCATAAGGCATTTGAATTGGTTAAAGAATTAATACAAAGCCTAACATGTTTTCTCACAAGCCTATTTCTCTAAATAATTTTTTTGGGATTTATTTTTGCTGGTGTCTTATATACTTTCTTAGTAATTTTACATAATATTTTATAAATTAGGTTTATAAATGAGTTGAATTAAATCAAGTAGTAGGTTCTTCAAATTTAAATTGATAACTTAACAATTTTTAAAAATATGTTTAAATTTGATTTTTTAACTTTTTGAATCAATCTCAAGCAAATCCGAGTTAATAATAAGTTGAACTCGAGTAATTGACTTTTTATACTATATATAAAATTATTGAATTGAGTAATAATACAATAATTTTGACTTAAAAAGTTTTATTTAATTAAATAGCAAGTTGATCTTAAATAAATTTTTAATGTGTCAAATAAGAATAAAAATTAAGTAATTTAGTTCATTTTACAACCAATGCGACATTATCCTCCCCTTCTCCTACTCAAGTAAATTATTTTTCTTTCTTTTTTTTTTATATAAAATGGGGTTAATTAAGATTTTAGTACTAAAACAAAGATAAAAGAAGGTTAGGTTTTTATTTCATTTTTAATTTGTTTTTAAAATTTTAATCAGTTTTTTTTTTAAATAAATAAAACTAGAAAGGAACCAAAACCCTCCCGGTTAGACCCGGTAAAAATCCCACCCGGCAAAAAACTCCTATCTCGCTCTGTCTCTCTCTCTTCTTCTTCTTCTTCTTCTTCTTCTCTCTCTAAACAGTTGAGGCCGCGAAGAGAGTTTCGCAGACTGGGCAGTAGGCACAGCTTCATCTCCTAATCTCAAGTGGTATGTTTTTATTCGTTGCTCAGTGTTTGTTACTTAGCTAGGGTTCTTATTTTCTTGTTCTTTCTCAGCAACCAAACGGACCAGTTTTGATCCCAAACCTGATTAAACCATTTTCACCTATAAGTTCTCCGTTTGGTTGCTAAGAAAATGTAGGAAAATAAAACAAAATCCAATTTTTTAATCTTACAATCATTGGAATTTAGGACATTGAAAATCAAAAAATTTAAAACCTCAAATTCAACAATTCAGTTAGTCGAGATGAGACTCGTGACTCAAATTTCATTTACTCTGTTTCTTGGGAAACAAACAAAGGGTTAAGATTGTTACCGAAAAATCTTCTACCTTCAAAATGAAATATTGAACCCTGTTTATCAGAATGGTATTCATTTGAGAAAATTTGATATGCCAGAAATCTGGAAATTTTGGGGAAAAATACTCTGTGATGAACTGCTTGTTTCGTGCATGTTCTGCGGCTATACTTTCAAGGACTGGTGGTTTTGTTGGTAGGAGTTCATTGTGTGGATTCTCAACTCCCCCATGGGAAATTAGCTTTGAGCATGCTAGTATTAGAACGGTTCGTTTGGAGCTTTTGTTGACTCAGTTGCGCGTTCAGTGCTATTCATCTGGAAAGGGAGGTGGAAGAAAGTCTCGTTCACAAAAGTTGGAACCAAAACCAGTGATGGAGGAAGAGAAGGCTGCGTTCTTTGTTGTGCGGAAGGGGGATATTGTTGGTGTTTACAAGAGTCTTAGTGAATGTCAGGCTCAAGTTGGATCTTCGGTAGTTCTTTTTTCGCACCATATTTTCTGTTGTCCGGATTTCTATTCTGTGTGTATATATATATACGAACTAATGTGTTTTTATTATGGTTTTGATACGGACGCCTCTCCGGAGGTCGCGTACAATGTCTGACACGTGTTAGATAACATGCACCGGACACACTAAGACACTTTGGACACACCACGGACACGTTGAGATACAATGAGGACATGCAAGAGATACGTTGAGGACACGCTAAGGACACTCTAAGACACGCCGAGTATTATTTCTTTGAAAAAATTAATTTTTTTTTTTAATTTTTTTTTTACTAAAATAGCGTACTTAAGGTTGATGAATTTGATAAAATTAAATATTTGGCATAAAGTATATATTAAATATTTTAAAAATATGCATATAATAAAAATATAAAAATATATGTTTTGAACGTGTCCTAACATGTCATGTCCTTTATTTTTTGAGAATTTACATGTCCGCGTGTTCGTGTTCGTGTCATGTCACGTGTCTGTGTCCGTACTTCTTAGGTTTTGATGGTATAATTTTTTTTATTCTTATTTGGGATTTGACATTTTTATTGAATGTTTAAAGTTGCAGATTTATCAAAAAAAAAAAAAAAAAAATTTTTAAAGTTGCAGAGGAGGAGCTTCAGATTGTGTGGGCATATTTATGATTTTTACTGATGTCTGAACTTAGTCCATTTGAAATTTCATTGGTTAAACTAGTTATTCTAAAATTGTTTTCTTGACAGCCTGAAATATTTTAAGTTCTGAATTTTGAATTTCAGTGATTTAGTTTTTTTTTTTTTTTTATAATTAAAATTGAAATCTAAAACTACATCATGATGAGTGTTTAAGGATTCAGTGATATGTTGAGTCCTAACTTAAAATTAAGATCATTTTAAGTGCATTTTAAATTTTAAGTGAATTGATCAAGCTTTATCTAAATCAAATAATAGATGTGCTAAAATATTTAACTCTCTAGTACTTGATGGGGGATATCAGGCAACCTCTTTGTTTCAAGAAGTTTCCATCTTGTTTTGTGATTTCACTCTTGTTTGATTGCATTATATTTGAAATGCATCCATGGGTGCTGTGGTCTTTGTTTAAAAAAAGTAAAGTAAAGTAATGAGAAGTTTGTTGGAAGATGCCAGTGTGCTAATATGTTCTCTGGTGGTATTTTTGAATATATGTTGCTTGCTTCTTTGCTAAATTGATCATCATAGGCTATATTAGAAAGTTTAGGATAGAAGATGTACTGTTTTTCATTGTTTGTTGAAATGGAATAAACAGATGATGAGCTCTTTTCTTTTCCTGATAGATATGTGATCCTCCTGTCAGTGTGTACAAAGGACACTGTATGCCTAAGGACACTGAGGAATATCTTCTCTCTTGTGGACTTAAGAATGCTCTATATTCCATCAGAGCTGCAGATCTAAAAGAGGATATTTTTGGCCCTCTCATACCTTGCCCATTTCAGGTGAGTGATTTATATAGATTTCATAATAGAAACTTTGTCATTATTCGAGAAGTAATTGTCTTCGTCCGTTTGATGTGATTGTGAACTTTGATTGCATAAATGATTTTGCATTGATGATATCAAATATCAAATGTTGGAGTTTTACCCTTATCTTACAACCATGAAATTGTGCATTTGACTTCATTATAGCCACCAAGAAACTGGAGGAATAGCCCTTGAAGTTGTCACATGGTTTAATAATATTGCATTTACAGTGGCTGCTATAGAGTTGGAAACCTTGTTGGACATATTTGTTATCAAGTTTGCAGTTATTAATTTGTCTTTCTTGGTGACCATACATTTTGCCATGAAAAAAAAAAAAATCTGCATAGTAATTAAAAACTTTAAAGTTATTGCAAATTTTCACATTAAGTGAAGTGCTTTTCCTATTTTTGTATCATATTCATGAAAGTTTGAATTAGTGTCTTATGTTTTCTTTCTTCCTAAGACAAATCTTTTCTCTCCATCCTTTCTTGGGCTTGGGACTAATCCTTGAAATATTAAACTCTAGTCAAAACTGCTGGAATTTAGCTGATGATGAATGATTATTCTCTCTCTCTCTCTCTCTCTCTCTCTCTAACTGATCACATGTTTAAGAGAGTTGTCATTTTGCTTTCAGCAACCATCTTCTTCAAAAGGTGAAGCATCCAACAAGGATATGCGAAAAAAGAGGTCACATGAAGTACTGGGAGCAGAAAGTGTGGTAAGTTCCAAATCAGAAACTTCTGAAGTGGAAACATGTATTTTCAAGAACATAATCAAGAAGTGGCATTAGTGTACCATAAGAATTTACTTTGAGAATGTTGTTATTCCCTTTCGTACACCTGAAGTTCAGCTGCATATTATCATAAGATTCATAGCCATCAATTTTCTTAATTATCATTCAGGGAACTATTATCTGTAATTATCTGTTATGTATGTCTCTTTTTCCCTTGAGTGTTCCCTTCGGGGCTTCAGTGTTTTGTTTGCTTTTTTTTTTCCCCTTCAGTGCTATGAATAAATCTATGATACTCTGTTATGACCATAAAAAATTGTGATTGAAGACATGCTCAATGGATTGGTCAGAATTACAACTGTTTCATTGTTAAGTGGAATCTATCTGACCGTTACCATTACCTTTTTCTCTGTCACGTCTGTTTTTTCTCATAGGATTGAACTTAATTTTTCAAAGTGATGAAGGTTCTCAAAAGAAACCCTGTTGTTCAAGTGGAATCTGACTGCAAGTATTATTTTGCAGTCGTAGCTATTTATCTGTTGTATCAGATAATTGCTCAATTACTCTATTCACTATTTCGCAGTCATAGATTAAGTAGTCATTTAAAGTTTAAATTATCTTTGATATTGTAAATTGAGATCTTCATTGTTGTGAGATGCCAGCTCAACAATGAAAGAAGAAAAGCTTCTCTATAATAGTAAAAAGAAAAGGCATGTAAACTAAAGAACCAAAATTGAAAATGAAAGAGGAAATGGTAGTAGCTTTTGTGAAGTTCCCTTTGTGGTAGAATACAACCCCTCCCCCAAAAAATAAGAGATAAACAAAAATCAGTTTTAACTTCGGTAGAAGTTGTAGCCAGTTCCATCCATGTGATAAACGAATAAAAATTGAAATCAGCAGGGCAGAATGTTGAGTTGGGTTCTCTAACCTCAGATTATATTTTAGATTTATGACAAACTTCAGCAGAAGTTGAGTGATTTCCTGTTTTAGACTGCTCATAGCATTTGCACATGTTTAGAAGATTTCTTCACAGCTGTAATTGCCCCATTTTTTTTTCTTTTTCTTTCAACCACTAATGAACTAGTAAGGGTCACTGTCGTTGACCTTGCTGTAGCCTATTTTATTGTGTGGGTTTGCATATGAGATGACTCAGACTTGCCATAGTTGCAGGTATATTGGGTTATATACCTTGAAGGAGATTTGTTGGCTTGATGCTGTTCTGCATGTTTTTTGGTTATGTGTATTTTATTTTGCAGGAAGCAGCTGGATCAACATCTGTCTATAACCCCTTGAGAAAGCATTTCAAGGAAGATCCTCAAGTCATGGCCCAAGTTTTATCTTCTGGTGTGAGTGGATGTTATGATGATTCCTAATGGATACAGTGACTAACACGAAATACTTTGGTTGTGTTTAGTGTGGAGTTCTAATCATGACTCCACACCCCGTATTTGAGTGTGGTGTTTGGGTACAACTTTCAAAAATTAATTCCACACCCACTTTTGAAAACTCGTTCCAGGCAGGGTTTTGAATTTTGAAATTTGGCCTATCCGGTCGTCCTCCCGAACATCTGGCCGGTGGTCCTCCCGATTGACCAGAACAGTGTTTTTGTTTTTTTTTTTTGTTCGATTGACCGGAACAGTGCATTTTTTTTATACAATTGCCACTAGTTATTTTTTATATTTTAAATAAAAAATATTTTCAAAATTTTTTTAAATTTTTTATGAGCTTTAAATAGAATTTTGGGTTGTGTGTTTGGTTATGAGTTGTAAGTTTTTTAATCAAATATCATATGTCACATCAAAAATTCCAAACTCAATTCAAAACTCAAAACCAAACAAATTTTCCACACTCAAATCATAATTTCAAAACTCACAAACTCAAAATACAACTCTATTCTCAAATCATAATTCTAAAACTCTACCAAACGATACCTTTGTTTTTCTTTTTCCTTGTTAGTTAAAGTCTCTGAGTTTCATTGGGATAGAGCTACATATCACAAATTTCTTGAAATTTTGATAAAATTAATTAATGGGGGGAATTCTTATTTCCTTCTTTGCCTATTTATTTATTTTGGTAAGACAATAAATTTCTAAAAATGTATTGTCAGGATCAGTTGATGAGTACAGTTATATTCTGATACTTGTCATGAATTTGTGGTTTGACATGATTTCTGTGATTCCGTGCAGTGCTCTTGTATTCTTGAGTTTGATGGTGCTTCAAAAGGAAATCCTGGACAAGCTGGTGCAGGAGCTGTGCTGCGAGCTGATGATGGAAGTTTGGTACATAGTCGAACCTTTGGGGGTTTCTAGTTATTTTTCTATTCTTTTCCACATTTGCTGTCTGTAATTCTGCATTTTGTATAGATATGTAGATTGCGTGAAGGTTTGGGCATAGCAACCAATAATGCTGCTGAATATCGAGCCTTGATTTTAGGGCTGAAATATGCACTCAAGAAAGGGTTTACAAATATACGTGTTTTGGGGGACTCCAAACTCGTTTGTATGCAGGTTCATTTTTAATTTCCATGTATTGGTTATTTGTTTACTTCATTGTGATATTGTTAGCTGGTAAAGAAACTGCGTGTTCATAAAATGAGCACAACCTCAAAAAGGTAGGGTGGTGTTATGGATGTTGATGGGCAATTGAATAACCAATAATGAAAAAATATATATAAGCATTTATGAGAAACTAAAGGTAGCATTGAACAATTCAAGGTGAGAAAAGAATTGTTAAAATAGTTTTGTCATGTCAACCATGTTCAACTGTCTAGTTGTAATGTGTTGCCTGATACATCATGCAAGTTGACGGTGCTACAAGAACAAGAAGGTAGGAAGAAACTGGGTTTGGGTGTCAAGGTCGATCCATGATTCAAATTAACAATGCATTCTATTTACTTTTGTTTGTTGGAAGTTGTATTTTTTTACTTATTTAGTTTTATTTATTTACTTATTTTATTTTTCAAAAAGTATTCTAATGCAACGACTTGATTGGAGAATAAAGCTTTATGATTATCGTAGGAACAATTCTAGCTGGGAAACCCGGGACTTTAGTCTTACACTTCAACTTCTGATCGTGATGTTCCATGCTTAAAGTCATTTAGTGCAAATTGCATTTATCTTCAATGATATTTGCTTTCTTATCCATGATGGTCCTTTTCATGTTGTTAATTAGTCAAATTTTTCATTTCCTTAACTTTTCCTACTATGAATACTTTATGGAACAGCTTCAGGGTCTATGGAGGGTAAGACACCAAAACATGTCCAACTTGTATGAGGAGGCAAAGCAACTGAAGGACAAGTTTCTTTCTTTCGAGATCAATCATGTTCTGCGGGTATGTTAAAGTAAATTTCTTCACCAAATGCATGATAGCTTTTGGCCATACGGTTTTTTGTATGTGATTATGCAATTCTATCCATCCAGAACTTTTATTAGGATACCAGTAGAGTGGTAAATTACTTGCTTCGCCATAGTTTCCTGTAGCTGTTTCTTTCGCCACGTTTACTCTTCACAACATTCTAATTTTTTTTTTTTTTGTTTAATTTTCAAAAGGATTTGAACTCCGAGGCTGATGCTGAAGCAAACTTTGGTGCTTGTCTTGCTGGTGAGACCTTCCCCGTATCCTATTGAATCTGCTGCTTTTTTTTTTTTTTTTTTCTGATTCAATCAATTCAGCAATGCTGATGAGATCTCAATGTTGCTGCAGATGGTCAAATACAAGAGATTGAATAGTCACTCAAACTATTGGATTGGCATTGTTCTTTGAGTCCAATGTTCATTCCCTAGCAACTGAACCAAATTCTTCAAGTGTCAAACACTTGATATCATATCTACAAGGCTTATTGATCATACCTCAAGATACACGGTGTGAAGTTGGTGTCATAGAGTTTTATTACATTTTTTGAATTTGAGCTTGATTGGCACGAGTGAAACAATTTGGATTTTGGTTTTCAGTGGCGTACAAGGAAGCTCAAAATGTCCCAAAATTTTATGAAGAAATTATTTTTACTTCATCTCTATTTCTCCATTTTCTGATAATTTGGGTTTCTGATGAGCAGAGCTGAAGAGCATCATGCTCCTTGTTGATGAGGATATGCTTCGTGGCCCCATTTCTCTGGGAGTCCTTGTGCTATGGTTTCTACTCACATTGTTCACTTGGGGCTTGTGATTGTTGCCTTTGCTTTCAAAATCTGTCGGATGATAACCTTCATTGTCACTGCTAGGTATAGTTTTGTTCCTGGGTTCTCTCTCTTTTTGAGTTTGTTGATTGGAGAGAGTTCAATTTGTGCTTTCAGATTGTGCCGTGTCAACAATTATTGTTTACAAAAAGAGATGAACCTTTAGTCTACAAAAAAATGCCCACATGGCATGAGTAAATTTTAGATGTAACGGTAATAAGCAATCTTATTTTGTTGTAGAGATCATAATTTTGTTATATGACTGAGAGAATACTTACAAATCTCATTTGCAATATTAGTAAATGGTGTCATTATTATACTCAATATTCTTTCACATGGCATAATATGTAAGCTTGAGCAGGACTCTTAAAAAAAATACTGATGCGGCATAATTTATAAATTCAGACTAGATTCACTTGTTTATATCCAGACTAGAGAGAAACTATTCTCATCTCTTTTGTATGAAAAGGCCTTGATTTTCTTTTAGATTCATGATAGATTCATGGGCATATAATTCATATAAACTTTTTCCCCATTTTTGACACGAAATGCTAGAGGGTGGAGTACATCCAAGTTAAATAAAAAATAATAATAATCCGAAATTGAAAACAGACAACCCTAAAGTGATCTAAACTGTTTTTTGCCTCCAACTATATTATTTTCTTGGAACATAATGGCCTCGTTTGGGAAGTGACTATTTTAGTAGACTATTGGGCTTTTTGGTTATTTTAGTAGGCAATTTTGGTTTTTGTATTTGGGAAGATGAGATGGATTTTATTTGAATTGTTGTATTGAAAAATGTGTTGAAATAATGTTTGAAATTAGAATGACAAATTTGTCCCCAAAAATATATTTTTTTAAATTGCTGTCAAGGGGTAAAATTGTAATTTATGCACTGATGGAACAATTTCTGCAGCTGACAGTGTAGGCTGTGCCTACACTGCCAGCTGTGCAACCTTTTTTTTTTCTTTTTTGAAAAAGCTTGCAACAGTGGGCTTTTTGGCTAAATTTTCATTATAGGCTATAATAGCCTCTTTAGCCACTTCCCAAACAGCGCCAATATCCGCGGCATGTAATTTGAGAAAATCGCAAAATTATTATTTATTTGGCTATATTATGGTGTTTGGAGATAGACTATATAATTTTTGCCCCTCGCTGTTGTAAATTTCATTTTAATTATTATTATTATTGTTATTATTATTTTAATTTAAATAATAATATCTTAAATTTTAATTTTATATTTTCATTTAAATTAAACATGAACACATGCTAGTCACATAGGCAATATACATGATACTTTGCTTTAATTTAACATTCCTTTTTTACTTTTAGCAATGCAAGAGATTCACAATATTTTTTTTTTTTTTTTTTAGCCTAAGGTCCCTCACTCGTATATCACACCCACTCTCTCATCTCTCCTCCCTCTCCCCTCTCATGTCTCTCACCCATGATTGTCTAACATTTGGGCAGTATCGGTGATCATGTTCTTGACATAGTTAGCGAGGCCAAGGCAATTGATGTGAGCGTAATGCCGATTGTTTGTCTCATACTCGATCATCGCGGTATTGATCGTGATTCTTCTTGCTCGCTTCTCCTCGCATGGCGTCGATTTCATCATACTTCTTGGGAGCATTGTTTCCCATGGAAGCCAACGCCATGGTTATGGCAACGGTGGGAGTGGTCTTGTCGTGATCGACATGGCCGATTGTTCTGATGTTTACGTGAGGCTTCTTTTGCTCAAATTTGTCTTTTGCTATGCGAACGATAAGAGATCGATATCCGCTGCCGGAGAGTTTTGACGATGACACTATGGCAGATTTGAAAATGGTTGAAGAGAATAGAGTGGTGGTGGTTAAGGTAGGGTTGGGTTTGGATTCTAGGTGCAGTGAAAATGGGGTTGAAGAGAGAAACATGTGAAGGTGATGAAAATGGAGAGAAATGAACGTTTGATTGAAGAGGTGGTGACACTCCTGTAATTGTAGTTATGGAAGTTATGTAGAGAGTTGATGATTTTAGGACTGTGACGGTCTCTCTATGAATCCGGATCCTCGGCCGCCCTCCCCGGCAGCCCCCCAAAACGACGTCGTTTTGGGGTTTTTTTTTTTTTTTCTTTTCTTCTTCTTCGTTCGTTTCTTCTTCTTCGTTTTTTGCGACGAGCTGCCATAACCAAAGGGGAGGGGAGAGGGAGAAGAGGGAGGAAGGAGGAGGAAGGAGGCTGCGAGCTCGCCATCGCAGCTCGTCGCCTCGCCGCCGGCCGTCGCAACCGTCCGATCGTCACCCGATCCAGCTCGTCGCAGCAGCTGCACCGCCGTCGCCTCCGCCTCCTCCTCCTCCTCCTCCTCCTCCTCCTCCTCCTCCTCCTCCTCCTCCTCCTCCTCCTCCTCCTCCTCCTCCTCCTCCTCCTCCTCCTCCTCCTCCTCCTCCTCCTCCTCCTCCTCCTCCTCCTCCTCCTCCTCCTCCTCCTCCTCCTCCTCCTCCTCCTCCTCCTCCTCCTCCTCCTCCTCCTCCTCCTCCTCCTCCTCCTCCTCCTCCTCCTCCTCCTCCTCCTCCTCCTCCTCCTCCTCCTCCTCCTCCTCCTCCTCCTCCTCCTCCTCCTCCTCCTCCTCCTCCTCCTCCTCCTCCTCCTCCTCCTCCTCCTCCTCCTCCTCCTCCTCCTCCTCCTCCTCCTCCTCCTCCTCCTCCTCCTCCTCCTCCTCCTCCTCCTCCTCCTCCTCCTCCTCCTCCTCCTCCTCCTCCTCCTCCTCCTCCTCCTCCTCCTCCTCCTCCTCCTCCTCCTCCTCCTCCTCCTCCTCCTCCTCCTCCTCCTCCTCCTCCTCCTCCTCCTCCTCCTCCTCCTCCTCCTCCTCCTCCTCCTCCTCCTCCTCCTCCTCCTCCTCCTCCTCCTCCTCCTCCTCCTCCTCCTCCTCCTCCTCCTCCTCCTCCTCCTCCTCCTCCTCCTCCTCCTCCTCCTCCTCCTCCTCCTCCTCCTCCTCCTCCTCCTCCTCCTCCTCCTCCTCCTCCTCCTCCTCCTCCTCCTCCTCCTCCTCCTCCTCCTCCTCCTCCTCCTCCTCCTCCTCCTCCTCCTCCTCCTCCTCCTCCTCCTCCTCCTCCTCCTCCTCCTCCTCCTCCTCCTCCTCCTCCTCCTCCTCCTCCTCCTCCTCCTCCTCCTCCTCCTCCTCCTCCTCCTCCTCCTCCTCCTCCTCCTCCTCCTCCTCCTCCTCCTCCTCCTCCTCCTCCTCCTCCTCCTCCTCCTCCTCCTCCTCCTCCTCCTCCTCCTCCTCCTCCTCCTCCTCCTCCTCCTCCTCCTCCTCCTCCTCCTCCTCCTCCTCCTCCTCCTCCTCCTCCTCCTCCTCCTCCTCCTCCTCCTCCTCCTCCTCCTCCTCCTCCTCCTCCTCCTCCTCCTCCTCCTCCTCCTCCTCCTCCTCCTCCTCCTCCTCCTCCTCCTCCTCCTCCTCCTCCTCCTCCTCCTCCTCCTCCTCCTCCTCCTCCTCCTCCTCCTCCTCCTCCTCCTCCTCCTCCTCCTCCTCCTCCTCCTCCTCCTCCTCCTCCTCCTCCTCCTCCTCCTCCTCCTCCTCCTCCTCCTCCTCCTCCTCCTCCTCCTCCTCCTCCTCCTCCTCCTCCTCCTCCTCCTCCTCCTCCGGCACCTAACCGTGCGGGTTTCTGGACTTTCACCAAGGACACACAAGCCAACATAATAAACCACAACCACACCCCTTATAACAATTTTTGTTTTAACGCGACCTTTTTAATTGCTTTTGGATTCGGGAACGCATGTATTTAATTGTTGTTTAGCTCATTTCCATCTTGTTATTTGTTAGGCTTGGCTATTGGGAGTTTTGGTCGTGTTTGAAATAGGTTGGGATGTTAGTTTTTCGAAGAATTCTTACCGAAATTTTGCTTGTTTGCTCAAGTGACCATTCTTGCGCTCAAGCGATCTTTTACTGTCTGCAAAACTACTGAGAGTTTGATACCTTGGCTTAAGCGGTATCTCTTGCACTCAAGCAATCTTTTACAGGTCTGAAGTACTAGGAGGGGGTCATCGTTCGCTTGAGCGCTGGTTTTGGTCGCTCAAGTGGTGTCACTTATTGTGTCTGTCGCTCGAGCGGCCATTCTTGCGCTAGTGCGGTTTGTGCGTATATCAGTTTGAGAAACAACCTTTTTTAATCACTTTTTCATCCCTTTATCTCTCTAAACATTCCAAAACCCTAGATCTACTCTCTCTCTCTCTCTCTAGTACTTGAACTTTAGCTCCGAATACTCTCAATCCGTGAGTTTCTTCACCTTAGTCCCTTGGAGAAAAACATTGAGCACGCTGAGGGCTTCGTTTTAATTAGAGCATCTAGTGTTTTTGACACCATCAAGTTCTACCCATTTTTTCTTCATGTCTTCTACTTTGCGGTAGGGATTTATTTGACTCTTTTATATGATTTTTAGCTTAGTTATTTGCTCATTGAAAATGTTATTTATTTGGAAATTTTTGATAAAACCTAGGGTTTTGTTTGAAATCAAAAGAGAGGTTTTACAAATTGATTCTTGAAAATAGTTGTGGAAATATGGATATGGATGAGTTGTGTTGAAATGATGGAAATCATTTCCTAAAATTTATTTTGAAAGAAAATGGGGTTTTAGCCCTAATTTGGATATTTGGTTTTTTGAAAAAGAAATGGAAAATTGGAAGAAGAAAATAAACATACCTTCCTCCGCCTCTTAGGACATGTTTTTTGTGTTGAATGGGTTTATTTTTTGTGGGTTGAGAAAAGAATGGGTTATTTTTTGTATTAGTTTTTGATTTTTTAACTAATGTTTCAAATTTAACCAATATAAATAGAGTTAAATTAATCTTTTTATTTTTATATATGATTATGGATGTATATATATATTTATACATATGATTCTAATATGGATGTATATATACTAGTGGATGACCCGTGCCTACGGCACTCCAAGTTTTAAAAAAAAAAAATTTAAATTCAAGTTAATACATTTTGATCAATGAAAAATAAAAGTTAAGACAAACTAATATAGCGCTTCCATACTGGAAAAAATTCACCACATTGTAGTTATGATCTATTCAATCCATTGATAATTCTTCGTATTCAAGGTTAAACTCTGTGTCACAGTGTATATGAAACTTTCAGTATACACATATAGACAATTACAATCATTTTTAATTCCCTTGTCCTTTTACTTTGTAATTACAATATGAAATCAGGAGAGATTTACTTAATACATATAGTTCATGAATTAATTTGAAACCAAAACATAAATAATCATACATTCTATATGTATAGCCTCAAGTGTAGTCCCACTTTAAACTTAATTCAACATCTCTATATGCAT